CAATATTTTATATTTTATATTTTTATTAATATATATATATATATTTTGCGTTCTGTTTCCATTTGTGACATCGCATAGCAACCGATGGATTGCTTCGGGATTTTTGTTGAAGTTAGCACTTAAAATTGCCAGTACTTTCAAATGGGTAAATATTCAATTCCATTGAACTYGGTTTAGACAAAAGTTATTTACTTTTGCGCTCCTTCTGATATGCAAACATTCCATCGATTGAACATAAAAGTTTAAAAAAGAATTTGATAAACATTCCTGTGTTGCATTAGTAAAAATATCATTTTTCGCAGTTAAGAAAAAGCATCAGCGCTTGAATTCTTAAAATCCTGCAATCATACCGCTAAGTTTTCTTAAACAAACCAAAATTTATTATTCAATCTTAAATAATCCTTAAATTCAGATTCTGTTTTATATTTCTCTAAGAATGCAATGCAGTGGTTTGCACAAGGTAGTTTCTCTAGGCTAACTATAGTTTAAGGATTCTTGCGACTTGCAGCTACGGAGAAGTCGGGACCGGAGGTCTGTCATGACTAACGAATTCGATTGGGGTTTACGAACTAAACGCGGGCCTTGATCTGAATCACATTTCGAATTTTGGCTAAAATTGGTCTTAATATTGACAAAAACACTCCTTGAATACGAAATAAAGTATCCAAGAATGCATTTATGTTCGAGCTACAACTGTCGGAATGGAGCGGTCGTGTTGCAAGCTGAAGCGAACGCAAGCAGAAAAATTATTTGCGCTAAGTTTAATATATTTTATCTCAAAGTTTATATTGTCTAGCCGGCTTACCTGACTTTTTGGCTATATTTCTTTTGGATAGGACTCCACAGTTAACCAAGTACAAGTGAGAGGTCAAAAATATAACGCAAAAATAGAACTTCATTGTGAAAAAGGAAGAATAACGCTGAATGAGAAAAGTCCAACTTCGCGGCGAATGACACTGGGAGAAGTAGGCAAAATAGCTCTGGCTTTAAACTTTTATTGACATTATTGCAAAAAGTAAACATTTTATGTTGTCAATGGACGTGTTTCTGTCGCTAACGTCAGCAAAGTTAATATGGGAAAATGGCGGGAAAGAGGTGGCTGCACGCGGCTCTAGACACAGATTAGCCTCCTTGTCTAACCATGAACTATAGTTTTGATAGTGAGTTATTTAGCTTTTTATGCACCTTTGAAAGGCTAATTTCGATCAGTAATATACGTTTCTCCAATTCGCAAAGTGTAACTCATATTGACATTCGCGTTGGATCCCTGTGGTTTTGTTTTACACTTTTCGGGGCTTCCTTTGTCAAAGGCCAGGTTTCTAAGTTAGATTCAAGATGGTGGACTTTAATCTTCGCTGTAACATCTGCAAGTTTTGATTCATATTTTCGACATTTAAAAGCTTTAAATGGTGGAAAAAGCACCAAAAAAGTTATGTTCACTTTCAAAAAGGTAAGCTTACCAAAAATGGATAAAGAAATGATGGTCACGCGAACAAATGGCTTGATGAGTGTTGATACATTTACTGTACTTAATCAAGTCCAGCCTTGTCTTGATTGGTTCGTGGTCACTCAATCAAAGAGTACGTTCTGTTAAGTTGAGTTTCTGGATATATTTTTTATTGAGTAAAGTAACTGAAGCTTACATGTATAGATATTTAATATAACGATTAATGATTTTTTGTTACTTTTACCATAGTTAATCCATTCTATGCTTTTACCTTCTACTGCAAGATTTGTTATTTATTTCTCGTTAATGATTTACATTTGTAAATCCCTTACTTTTCTTCTTTGCATGGACTCATTTAAGTCTTGAAGAAAGTTGGTGCATGCATGGTTTTCTGTTTGTAAGAAACATAGGAATTCAATTAGATCAGATCGAACACTGAGGATGGTTAGTTTACAATCACAAGCGCTAGGGATCATTTATTTTTTAGGAGAGGGGGGTGGGTCGGAGAAATCCAGGGGAGGGCCGTTAAATTTTTACTCAGTCAAAATTGGGGGTCATCAAATATGTCATACTACATAAATGGGAGGGACAAGAATTCAACAAATTTCGAGGGTAGGGTCACTTTCTTATGCAGTCAGAATAAAGGCGAGGGTCTAAAGATATTACATTATTGTTTATTGCTGGTATACCTCTGCCCCCCCTCCCTCTTCTCTCCTAAAAATGAATGCTCCCTTAGTAATAATGTGTAGGGACTGAGAAGATTTAACTCAGACGTAAACAACTCACTTATTCTGAAAGCTCCGGATCCACTTCCTTGGGTTCTACTAACTCGACTTCCTTGCTTTTTGCTTTTGTTTGTCGTCTCGTTCGATAGGCTTGGTCAAGAACTCCACAAAGAGATAGTAACAGAAAGCAAGCGATGATGATTATCATCCCTGGTGAGTCGAAGTTCACCAGGCTCACGATGTCGTGTTGCATGGACCTTTTCAATTTTGATTTCTTCTGCAACGACAAAAATATGACTTTTTCATGAGTCCATGGGAATCCTTAAGGCTGCGTTCATAATTTATGCAGGGGGGGGGGGGGGGGGGCGGGTGAAATCTTTAAATGACAAAAAAATTCTTAAGACTCCCCCTTGAAGTCCCCAAAAAAATAACTATCCCCCCCGGGCAAACTCTCGTAGCTTCTTCTAAAAAATTTTCAATTTCCCCAATCCTCTGAAAATCCCCATTTTACTGGTAAAAAAATTTCCGATCCCCCTAAATTTCACCTGCTCCCCCCCCCCCCCCCCCCCCCCCCCCTCTGCCATACATTATGAACGCAGCCTAAATACGTTCGCTGACACGTTCTTCTGTCTTTGTAGAGCGGTGTTCGTGTTAGTGGGAAACGATACGACAAATTCGTAGTTGTACTGTAGCCGTTCCGTATCTTACCGTAGCCCTAACTACCTGTTGAATTACGGAATGTCTTACTTGTCAAGAAGACAATGGGAAGCCATTTCAATGTTACGGCAGGTCGTACCGTGTTTATAGAGCAGTTTTCGTATGACCGTGAAATGTTCGGTCCGATCTTGACACGGCAAGCGATACGTCAGACCAATTACGTTGCACGAGAATTTATTCTCCATCCAATCAAATACCCGGAACATGGCATGAACATGGCGTGGACACGGTCACGCCAAGGTCACGGCAATCCCAGACATCACATTGCGCGTGAAGAAAATCAGCCAATTAAAATTCTAGAAAGCATCACGGTCACGTCACGTCACGCTCACGGCAATGAGCTTTTCACAGTCATACGGAAACTGCTCTATGCACTATAAGTCAGCACCGTTCTTTCCTACACTTGCGAAAACCGCTGTACTTCATCGAGACCAGTTTACAAAGGTACCACCGTACCTACCTTGGCGTCTTGAATAAACCTATTCACTGTCATAAAGACATCATTCTCACGTGAAATGAATACCATTCTCAGGCAGTCTCGAACCGTAGAGTCAAATACAGGATATTTGACCTCAACAAAGCCGATGTGTCTCGGGTTGGGATATAATTTGCCCAGCTGGAGGTTGTCATCGTCCTTCTTTGAGATGGCGTAAGATGCACCGTACATTTCCATTAAGATACCTTCCACAAGTCCTTTGTTCAAGGCGTCGTACATTGAATCAAAATCGTTAAAGACTAAAGAGAAAAGAATAAATAACTTTCTCTAGAGAGCTTATAGCTTGAACAATGCTTGTCGAAGTATTGTGATCATCTGGGTGGATGTAGTTCTGAGAAGGACTGTTTGATGTAACTGGCGTTTCGACAACCTGAGCGGAAGTCATAGTCATAGTCAGATTGGTCATATTTATACTGCCACGATAGCAATAGCCTAATTACCTGATAAGCTTGAACAATCTTAGCCATTGCGGAAAGAAGAATTTTGAAGAAAAAACTGGGTCGAGACGCTGTCTTGGAAATGTCCACTTAAAACAGTACCACGATGCACTGCAATGCAAAATCGTCCCAGCTTTATCCTCGCTTTCGCAATGGCTAATATACAGCTATTTCTAAAGAGGTTGATAAAGATTTTGTTGCATGTTGCATATGAAGCCCGAAATGCACTATAAGGTCACAACGATATGAAATTTTACCAAACTTTGTTTGTATGTTTTTCCATGCAGTATATTTTCTTACATGCTGCCAGACCTTATTTACATATATGCATATAAAACAATTCGGCTTAGTAAGCAAGATGCAGCATGCAACATGCAACATGCAACCCTCAGCAACCTTTTTTTGAAATATATGTATTTACATCAAAAGTGCACTATGAATTTCATTCATTTGGAAGAGTCTTATTCGAATTGGTAAAATACCGCTGTGTAGATGTGTATCTTGATTACAGACTCATTTACTCAGAGGTCCCCTCTTCAGTGTTAAAATATTCACAGATACCAATCAAATAATATCTTACGTTTTGGATTTGCATCGTTCTTCACTGCATTTACTATCGATAAGCTGTCTTTCAATACGGCTAGCTGAAAAATGATCAAATATCCATCACAATTTCAAGCTATTCATGAATTATTAGTATATCATTAGTACTGCGAAGTACTATATCAGTACACCATTAGTAGATGTGGCGCATGCCTACTTACATCTTTATCAACAATATCGACGTCCTTGTCTACATTTATCGATGTCAGGACAGCTGTGATTGAGGCGGTCATGATGGAACATATGGCAAGACTTGCGATAATCCAACAAATACCAAATATTCGGGCTAGGAATGACTTTGGTGTTCTGTCGCCGTACCTACAGGCAACCAAAACGAGTAAGTACTCTTTAAAATCCATTCTTTTTGAATTGTTTACGATGCACATATGCATTGATACAGATCGAGCATGCGCAAAAGGAAGGACACGAGAGAAAAAAACCTCTGCGCATGCTCAAGGTCCGTAATGCAAATTAGTGCAAATTGCAGAAATATGCAAATATTGATTTTATTTTCAATTATACTGACAAATGACTTTACTTGAGGCTGATTCTTTCATATTGTCTTTGTCATTTTTTCCCCTAAACTGACGCTCTTGCATTGTTAAAAAAAACGTGCTTATAATTACTCACCCAACCGTTGTCATAGTAACAAAAGCCCACCAGAAACCCTCGCTTGCTCCTTTGGAAAAAGGACGGGGGAAATGTTTTGAGTTCCATTTGGTATCCTATCAACAATAGACATATGCAGGTATTAAAAGTGCTGTAACAAGGGAGAAAGAGGGTGGCCAAAAATGTCGAAAGTAAGGTTCAGCTCAGACGTTGAACCTTTGCCGCGTCGAATCTAATAGCTGCATTTCGTTCATGATAGGTACTAAACTAAACTATTGAATTCTTCAGATGTGGTTAAGTGCAGCAGAAAGTCGGTAAATTCGACTGAGTCATTCGCACAAAATGACCGAAGATCGGGTTTGATTCAAATGTCAAACTTTTGTCGCGTCAAGGAATGCAATGCATAAATTATAGAGCAATGCATAAATTATAAAGGCTTGATATGGCAAATGCTAAAACACCCAGCTAGTGACTCTGGCCTTTGTCAACGTGTGCTTACGTGCGGACTATCTAGATACAACGAATTTGTCGAACTTAAAAACGCATTTAAATGGATTTAACGCATGCTTTAATCGTTATAAGAAACTTGCCTGAATTTTTTAAAAACGTTTTGTGAAAAGTCGTATGTGGCATGTGGCATACGTCATTACAGGCCGTTGCAATAGCATGTAGACGACCCTGTATTGGCTATTATTGTACTAAAAGTTTTCTGGAGCTAGTAAAGTCGTAGAGAATGGGATCAATTCTAGGGAAATTATTCTACCCCTTGACAAGCATTATAATGTAATTTGTGTCTGCCGCCCTTTTTGTCAGCTTCAGCTAATTTATCGAAAACCTTCTGCAACTTAATTGCCGTCAAGCACATTTACAAGGTTTACGAGCAAAAAATAAAAAGGGGAAAAAAACAAAAAACAATAACAACAAACAAACAAACAAAGAAAGCAACGAAAGAAGGAAGAAGAACAAAGAAGGGACGATGTTTGTTCTTTGAGAAGAATAAAGTATTATTACTACTCACCAAAGCCCATATGCAGATCCCAGCTATTGCCGCGAGCAGAACAGATAAAAGAAGAATCGGTACTACCTCCACCAAGGATCTCCATGCTGCACTTTGTTTTTGTTCATATTGGTGGGACTTGCTGATTAAGAGAGCATCTCCAGGCGAGAATAGTACTTCACTTGGTTTAAAATCAAGTTCTTCATAAAGCCCTGGATTGGTGTTAACCGGGAGAATAATATTGGTTTCATTATCATACATCTTCATGAGAAGGGACTCGAGGCTGTCGGCTGGTCGGGCGTCGTAGGAAATACTTGGTGGGTCGCTTCCTTCAAGACGACAGCAAACCGACATGGATGACAGAAGCAAATCTACAAAGATTCCTACAGGTTGAGGATCTTCCTTGTTGGTTTTGGAAATAAAAGGTGGACTTTGCAACCAAGAAAGTCTGATCCTTTCCTGACATTTCCTGTGAATTGCTCCGAATGGATTTGAAGGTGGTACTGGTTTCTCACAGTTGCCATTTGGTTTTTTCAGATCGGCAAAAAGCCGATGGCAGGGTACGTTTGCAGCTTCTGCAAAACCCAAAGTCACTATTGCACAGACAAAGAGCGTGACGAAAAGTAACAAGTACTGTGAACAACTCATGGCTGATTCGGATTTTTGCGTTGGACCGTTCTGGAACACGACGATTGCCTGCGGATAACCTGTTATTATCGGTGGCTATTTAAAAAGGCTCTTAAGAATATGCGGTGCTGTCTGTTAGCCAATCATGTCCCAAGTTCTTTAAAAGTTCAACTGATAGCCCAAATTCAAGAGGTACTCATAGCCAGTCATGTACAAAGTGGGTGCTCTGCATAACCAATCATGTCCCAAGTTCTTTAAAAGTTCAACTGATAGCCCAAATTCAAGAGGTACTCATAGCCAA